CTTGTCTGTGAAGCTTGTCTTCCTTCATGATTTCGCTCTTGGCTGCCGCTGCCGGCCTGTCTCCCAAGCTTGTCTCCCTTCATGATTTTACTTTTGGCTGCCGCTGCCGCCTTGACTCCTAAGTTTGTCTCCCTTCATGATTTCGCTTTTGGCTGCCCCTGCCGCCTCGTCTCCCAAGCTTGTCTCCCTTCATGATTTCGCTCTTGGCTGCCGCTGCCGCCTTGTCTCCCAAGCTTGTCTCCCTTCATGACTTCGCTCTTGGCTGCCGCTGCCGTCTTGTCTCCCAAGCTTGTCTTCCTTCATGATTTCGCTTTTGGCTGCCGCTCCCGCCTTGTTTGTGAAGCTTGTCTTCCTTCATGATTTCGCTCTTGGCTGCCGCTGCCGCCTTGTCTGTTCAGCTTGTCTCCCTTCATGATTTCGCTCTTGGCTGCCGCTGCCGGCTTGTCTCCCAAGCTTGTCTCCCTTCATGATTTTGCTTTTGGTTGCCGCTGCTGCCTTGACTCCTAAGCTTGTCTCCCTTCATGATTTCGCTCTTGCCTGCCGCTGCCGCCTTGACTCCTAAGCTTGTCTCCCTTCATGATTTCGCTTTTGGCTGCCGCTGCCGCCTTGTCTCCCAAGCTTGTCTCCCTTCATGATTTCGCTTTTGGCTGCCGCTGCTGCCTTGTCTCCCAAGCTTGTCTTCCTTCATGATTTCGCTCTTGGCTGCCTCTGCCGCCTTGTCTCCCAAGCTTGTCTCCCTTCATGATTTCGCTCTTGGCTGCCTCTGCCGGCTTGTCTTCCAAGCTTGTCTCCGTTCATGCTTTCGCTCTTGGCTGCCGCTGCCGGCTTGTCTCCCAAGCTTGTCTTCCTTCATGATTTCGCTTTTGGCTGCCGCTGCCGCCTTGTCTGTGAAGCTTGTCTTCCTTCATGATTTCGCTCTTGGCTGCCGCTGCCGCCTTGTCATTTTCTTGCCTGCCTTTGACGCGGATGCTGCTATAAGATGATTTAGGTCTTGTTTACCTTTTCCATCCTTTTCCCGGCTTTGAGTGGGATGTCTCCCAAGCTTGTCTCCCGCTCTTGCCATGCTATCCTTTTCTTGAAGTGCTATCTGGGGTCTATGCCGGTATAGTTTTTTTTCAGGCCCTGACCTGCATAACGACTGTGGGGCCCGTGGGGGGGGGGTCCAAATGATACATGTCTCCTGATACCAAAGGGAGGTTTTAACCCAGCAAGTTGGGCTGCCTTTCATGTGGTCGACAAACCCCAACGAGCAAAGACCCATGACATTTCCCACGGAGTTCGTGGCGAGTGGACCCTGATTTCAGGGTGGCCGTAGAATGCTGTAGACAGCCGCAGCCGCAGCGTTTTGATGGGAGAAGTGTCCCCTGAAGAGGCTGCAAGCTTTCATGACGTGAACAGCACTCGTGTGGACTCTCACCCGCGGAGGGAATGAGGTTGGCTTTCTTCCGGGCACGGTGTTCAAACAGTAGTGGTGTGTTTGAATACTTGCTCTTCGACAGATTGTACAAGGTGAGTCAGGGTGCTGCTTCGTGCCTTAAAACCGTGAAGGAAAAGCCTCTTCAACATGGTGGCAGGATGTTGCAGGTCCTCTTTTTGACCGGCTACCCCAAAACATGGGCTCCTCAGCAGCACCGCCAGCACCAGGAGCAGCCATGACCACCTTGCGATGGAGATCCAGGATTGAGCATGCAAACATGAACCCCCAAAAGTCGATGGAGTTTCTGAAAGTGCAAGAACTGCAACCAACCTACTAGCGATGGCCCACCCTATTAGCTTCTTGATACTAGTGTAATGGCCTCCAACCTAATAGCGATGGCCTCCAACCTACTAGCCAGAAACTAGCAGAACCTCAGAATTCCCAATCCATGGCACCCTTTGGCATGTTTGGCAATGTTTGGCACACGTGTACAACTGGTGACCAAAGCTCTCTCTCTCTCTCTCTTTTTTCTTATTGGTTCAAACGGGACACTCGCCGAGGCAGAAGTTTGATGACACATGAAACAACTCTCTTGTCTTGGAACGATATATCATAAAAGCCTGTGACAAGGCTCTTCCAAACCAAGGCCGGTGAGTGTGTTCTGGAGAAAAGCCATCTACAGAGTATGTAGTCCCATGAGGTCTGTCAAGCGCCTTTGACGGATTCCATCAGAATTAACTGCATCAAAGCCGGGATGAAGAAACCGTGGTCAACAGTCGAGGTGCATAGGCTTAGGGACCCCAAAAACGTAACTAGGAATATGAAAGAATCATTCTGATCCCACGATATCCCATGTGCTGCATGCATGCCGCATGCCACACCGAAATCTTCCAAACAAAGGAACTTGTTCAACCGGTTTGCTCGTTAAGATCACGGACATTTTCTTCAAGCAGGGTTCCACTGAAATTCCAGACCAGAAACTACCAGTTGCTCCTAAAACCTAAAACTCTGGATGTTCGATTAAAGAAAGGACAGCCCTGGAGCTCCTGTCGTTTTCAGGCCACAACTGGAAAAGGTCCACACACCCCTCCACTTGTCCATTTATTGCGAATCTTTGGTCTTTCCAAAGGTCTAGCTGATCCACGTTGGTTCTCATCAACCAACCCTCCCAGCTTCCTTCCGATCAAACAGCTCTATCTTCTTTGGGGCACACTACTGTGAAGGATAGATGTATCGGGGCACATTGCTGCGCTTGTTGCAGGTTCTCTCATTCATTCGTCTTCACATCTGGCTTAAAAAATAAAGCACGTCCGCCCCAAAACAACTCCTCAAAGCGTTTGTCAGTCTTTAACAAGAAGGACAAGATGTCCTACACCTTTTCTTGGAAGCCAACTTACCGGTGAGAAACAGTGAAAAGCATGATGACATCAACTAACGGCTAACAAACAACTACAGTACTAAGATTTCTACACCAATGTGTAGATGTCATTCCAATGTGTGCTGTCATCCTTAGACCCTCAGATTTCTTCCATCGACAATACCCGCCACCGCCCGGTGATGCATCCGCAAACCCGCCGCACCCGCCGCAAACCCGCCGCATCCCTTCCGACCGAGCCGCAGCCCCGGCGGAGGCGGAGGCATCCACGCCGAAGGTCTCCTGGGAGGTTCTGAGGTTCCTGGAAGGTTCCTGGTACAGTATGTGACCCTCCAGGTGCGAGCTCTCCAGAGCGCGAGGGAAGGAAAGGGGACCTAGAGTCCGATGAGATGAACAGGAACAGCGGGAAACCTGCAAGTGCTGCTGGTAGGTCATGTGAGTCATGTGTCTTGTGTCTTGTGTCCAGGCCTCTGGCTGTGGTCGAACGTTCTTGTCCTGCTATTCTCAACCGTTCATCTTTTTTGTATTCGTTTTTCTTTGCGCCAGTCACAAAGAGAAATCTCACCAATCATCACATCCCCAACGGTTGGCTGTTCTTTTGTGCTGTCCGTGTTTTCCGACTGTTTTGAGGGGCACCCTCCGACTGTGGTGCCCAGTCCGATGGAACGCGGTCGTGTGTCTTCCCACGGTCATCGGACGACTTGTGTCGAGTGAAGCGCCTCCCTTCGTCGACACAGGGTGGATCGGAACGGTGGCAGCGGACGGTGGCCCTTCGTCGTCCTTTGACTGGAACATCCGTATCTCCACGGACGTCGGTCGGGGGTGTAGCGTCGTATGCGTAGACATCGAGAGACATCGGAAAGGGTTCGGAACATCGACCGCGGCCCGTCTCCTACACACCCAAGTGGTTGGGGCCCGTCGCGAAGTGGTGTGAAAAGCGAAGTGGTGTTCACCATGTTTGGCACCAAGTCGACAGGATGGGAGGCCTCCGTTTAGGCCTCCAGCGCCGTTGATTGGTGCGTCCTCGATGGCCTTCACGAGCTCAGAGGCTTCCAGCAATGTGAGCTCCTATGAGGGTGTGGAGTTGGGTTGAAGTGGAGAAACCAGGATGATGAGGAGTTGCACCAGAGTCAGCTGATCCACCATAATTGAATTTGATGGGAGAGATCCTATGTCCTATGAACATGCTGGTGGTAATTATTGCTGGTGGTCTCTTTACATATCATGAACTATTGGTTAAGTATGCTTAAGCTGGGTGGTTGCTAGTTGTTTGGTCAACCGGGGAGACGAGCCGACAAGACACAGGACAGCCCCGGTTAGTAAACATGTCAATGAAGGCATCATGCTCTTGGGAAACCTCAGATCTGGACGAAAGTACCTTCATCATCCTTCATCATGGCAATCCGTTTGGCCCCCTCCAGTTCGGTCGACAAATATTGACAAAACACATGGAACGAAAGAAATCGAAAGAAACCACGAAATCCGCTCGTCCTTCAGGCTGTCTACGATCTTGTCTACCTTCTCGGACTGCCTGGTGCCAGCGCGAGTGCGAGCTCGTGAACAGCGCGAGTGTTCAACCGGGTGCACCGGTGTTTCATGGAGAGAACATGGAGAAGTTCGCTTCCCACCATAGGCTTCCCTTGTCAGCTTTCAAGTGTCTAAGATGTTTCAAGCCCTCGAACACATGCAAGCGACCACAGATGTCTTCGAGCAAGACACTTCAGCGTCAATGCTTGACCACTCCGTATTTGCTGAGTAAATACCCTTCACATCTCTTCACCAAAGCTCAAACAGCTAGAACTACAACGCAACAAAAAGAAGTCATTTCCACGGGCCCAACGACCTTTTGGCGGACCCAGCACCCCTGTCTGACTAGACCCAAACTTCAACCCCCCCTTGTTGTTCTGATTCGTTCTTGACACCTCCAAGCGACGTCCAACTCGATTCCGAGGGACGCATGGCCGTCAGGACGCACCACATCGATCGACGGGATCCGGGGCACCGACGTCAACGGCGATCGGACACCGGTGTGGCCCAGTCTGAGGCGAAGAACGGCCATGTCGAAGTAATTCATGATAGATGTATCATCCCAGATCATCCCAGGATGAATTCGAAGTAATCCCAGATCATCCCAGTCCTCTTCTCATGCGACCACACATCCCATCTGGACTCCCGCACATCGCAACCACAGGCGCTCGCAGCGCTGTTCGGGAGGCCTCACAGTGCGCGCGGCCGCGTACGCCGCGAGACGTCCCGGTACAGTGTTGGGTACTCTCTCCACACAACCACACCAACAGAGGTTGTAAAACCCGAACTAGGCTATCCCAGTTCGGTACCCCAGTATCTGTAGTGTCCTATTTACGGTCACTTCACCTCTGTTGGCTTTGACAAAAGGTCGTTCGCTTCGGTGTTCAGCCCGGGTGAGGCATCACCGGAACGGAACGAACCATGGAACGGGACGAACCCACCGGTCATCTCGAGCTACACGGTTCCACTTCCACCAGAAGCGAAGCGAGCCGTGTCCGGGGCGAAGTCCACCGAACTCGTCGTGTCCACCGAGCGAAGCGACCTGACCGGTCGTCTCCGACCCACCGTGTTTCGTCCCCAGGAGCGGGATAGGTTGGCCGCTTCGGAGCGGGAAAGCTGTGGCCGTCGCTTTCGTCGGAGGCCATCTATAATATAGGTGATATTGTTATATTACAGGTTGGATGATGGCCATCTATTGATAATGAAGGCCTACTAGGAAAAGGAATAGATGGAGGCCATCTATGATTATAGGCGGTTCCTTTTGCTAGTAGGTTGGAGGCCATCGCTAGTAGGTGGCCAATCCCCGGTGGAGCCAGGCGCCCCGGGCCGCCAGTCCGTTGACGAAGCTCGGCGCATCAGAGGGGATCTGAAGCCTTCGTGCAGGGGATCGTGCGGGTAGGAGTCGTTCGTTGGGGGGAATTGGGTGGAAACACCAGGGTTTTTTGATTGTGATGCAGCACTCTGAAAAAAGTCCACGGGACATCCGCCGGTTTATTGAGTAACCGTTGGTCTACTACTTGAAGATACTTGAAGGCTTGTGATGCTTGCCTTCACCAATGGGGAGTCTTTTTGTTGGGTGGTCCCTGGTTCGTCTCCGTGCGATCTGCAGTTTGTTTGGGCGACTGGCGCGTGTTTTTACGCAAATGGACGGAAGATTCTCGGAGTGCATAACCCATTCAGCCATTCTCTTATGGAAGGATGGTCCTCCGACATTTGGACCCCATGGTAAGCACCTTTGGTCGAACAAACGCACACGTGTCTTGAAATAGAATACAAAACACCCAAAGACCGTTTGGAAAAGGACACAACCCAAAACCTCAAAGCACATCAAACATCCATTGGTTGGAGGGTCCCCTTCTTTCAATACAAATCTAATGTGTGAAGGTTTTACACCCAAGGCCTGTCCCGGACCCATCCGAGGGCCAGGCCAAATGGCGAGAGCGAGCAGAAAGCTCAAAAGGACATGTCCACGGCGGGCCATCCCTGGAAAATCACAAGGGAAACGGAGAAACTCATCCGATTCAGATCTCACTTACCACTACTGGCCACGGCTATTGATCTCTTGCACTCTTTGGGCAACACAAGTGAGGATGCCCAGGGCATCCATATGTCATTAATCAATGCAGGACGGGATGAGGAACACGACGTTTCCTACCGTCTATACCAGTTTCTAATTGGTTTTGACATCTTTGACATGATGGACTCCAGAACATCATGAAGATCTTGCTGCCGCCCGACCCGACTTTCACCACTCTCACCCGCCTGCCACTTTGGTGTCGGCGGTTTTAAGAGAAATTTCAGGTGACACCGCTGAGAAAAACGGGGCTGCGAACAGAATCGATCGCCGTCGGATCAGTGTTTCGATGGTTTTTTTCTTTCCGAGTCGATGTAAAAATGGTGTTCCGCGTCAAGCAAAACCCAAGCCCATCCAAAGCAACTGGTTGAGAAGCACAACGCACTGGGTGCCGGGTAAAGCAAGTTCTCCGGACTTGGATGAGATCTGTGAGGATGAAGTAGGCGACAGTAAGTGGTGAACACAAACCAGTGAGGGAAAGATCTCAAAGGTCATCAAGATGAACTGAGGATGAGGTGTGTCTCAAAAAGCGCAAGTTCGAAAACACACGCCAACCAGTACGCCAACCTGCATGGTTACCCTGCTGCATGGGGCCTTGTGCCATCAGACTGTGCGTGGTCACATGTTGCGGTGAACAAAAGGACGGTGCAGTGCACCAATGGAACCAAACATTGCCCTGGAAATATGAAGCTTCCAAGAGTCATGGCCTGAACCATACCCGAAGTTGAAGGGTTCATCCCTTGCCTTCCAGTGGATAGGATCCTTTTCCTATGAAGCTGCAAGAAATGGCATAACTTCATAACACTGAAATTCATTGACAGCAACATGTTCCATGGAGGTGCTGTATTATGGATTCCTGACAAAGTTGTCCTGCCTTCAATAGGTTCTGACTAAACATGCTCTCTCCTGGTTCCAAACACCACTCTGACTCTGGTCAACTTGTATGTATCACTGTATTACCAATGTGTACTTGCCCCAACCAATTTGTATTACAAAAAAAATCAGGCATCAGCCTGTTCCTTCAATTCTACTTGATATGACTTCCGTGCCGTGCTTGGCCCGTTTACAAAAAGCCTCCTGTGATCCACTTTTGCGAGCACGGCAGCTTAACATTCGTCGCAGCTGCTGACTTCCTCCATGGGCCGTCCGAGCACTGCAGCGGCCCGCGCTTGGGGCTTGGAGCTTGGACTGTCCGCCATGGAGGACGAATAGAGAGAGGTAGGCCTCGGAGGAGGCAAGCCGGGGACATCTAAACGGACATTTGAGCCGGTCAAATCGATTAGATGGGGCTTTGCAGGAGTAGATTAGATCAATCCCATAACCAAAGCAATGTATCTGATCTGTTCGAGGAGTAAAAAAGGTACAGTACTTGTATCATCGTGTATCAAAATATGGGTATAATGATATAATATAAAATGAATCGTATCTATCTACCCAAACCAAACAGTTTGGTTTAATGGCTCCGTGCTACAAGCGCTGGGGTTTAGTCACCCGGGTTTGCAGAAAGTCACCCGGCCGCATGTAAACGCAGCATTAGTCAAGAGTCACCCGGCTCGCGAAAAGTCACCCGTTTTATGTTAAAACACAATGTAAACGCTCTACGGAAATGTACTTGCATGTACTTGTATGCAGGCTGTTGAGATATGTTTTGGGTCTGCCATTTGTCCTTCCGCAAGAATTCAAACATTAAATTGAATGCAAAGTAAGCATGACACCTGGTGGACATACATGTTGAGAAGTTTCCAGTTGTGGCCACACACCAATGTGCAACGATTTCATTCACTTACTTCATCTCATCTTCAAGGATATCCATCTTACAGGCGGTTTCTGTGTTCTGGCCCTATTCTTGGGGTGACTTCATGTCTGACGCTTCATGTCTGACGCGTCAGAAATATAGACAATTCTTGTTGTGAGTAACCAGAGTAACTCTACACCTCAACGCTCTCGGGCCGTCTACTTACTTGTGTTTCCACGTGAAACAACGGACGGCCCAGCCACGGAGAGACGGTTGCTTCGCAACTGGTCCAGTCCCCCTTCTCGTTGGTCTCCTTAACATGAGATGTGGACCGTGCAAGGACCGTGCAGAGGCAGAGAACGACCTAGCAGGAGTGCTTCTATGAGAGCTCGTGAGATGAAGATGCTGGGGTAGAACCAGGAAGCCACAGGGAGCGACGGCATGGATGGTGCGGTGAGGGCTTCCGATGTGGAACCGATGCCCCGCGATGGTTGGTGACTGGTGGGAGGTGGCCATGTGGGTCCAGCAACAACATCACACATGGGTCCACATGATGAGAAGCTACGCGCACCAAGAAACCATCAAGAAAACCGATGTCAAGTAAGAACTCACTCGACCGATATCCATCAAACCTCAAAATCAACAGAATTATAGTCAGGACCCAAGATGGGCCTATTTGGACTCATACATACAAATACGCTTCATCACTGGTCATAGGTGCCATCAACCCCCAAAGCCATCCTGAGCCCTATCTAGACACCATGGGATATCGAGACACGGTATCTGAACATGCACAGGAAAGGACACCATGGAGTGAGCATGGATCCTGGATACACTCCAGTTGGCTTTGTACCCTTGGTGCAGGATTGATCGCAAGGTATCGAACAGTTGACCGTTTCCCATGGTATGGACCAAGTAGTGTTTTTTGACCCCCAAGAGTGTGGAGCAAAACGATCGAAGAACGTGCACCCCGGAACAGCAGAATTGTTGCTGCACGAGAGTTCAATTTGCTTCATGGGACCTGGAACCAGTAAAAAGAACGAGTACTCTACCGGATGTCCAGTCGGGCAACCTTCAACTGCATCTCAAAGCAGATTGCGCCCTTTTCCAATTGAACAGGGGTATCACGAAGAATCTCTCTAGGTAACATAAGCAATTAACAAAACATGTTCTACCAAAGCGTCTGGGTCTTTCACAGTCAAGGCCTCTCGCGCCACTGCTTCTTCGGCTTGGATCTCAGACAAGTCGTCCCGCAAGACGGTCCGCGTCATCATCCAGCAGAAAAGCCCGCAGGGCAACCAGAACAAAATCCCCAGCATGAAAGACGATCTCCTTCCTGAGATTTTGTTGGCAGAGTCGAAGCATATCTGCTGCAGCATGATATATATATATATATCCGTTCTTGGACTTTTGTGGCAGCGCTACAATCTCAAGATATCACAAAAGAACTAGAACTAAATTGTTTGCGTTGGAGTGCCAGCTTTCTCCCTCAAATCGTCAATGTCAGTATACTGAGAACATCTCCCCGCTAAATGCAAACAAATGGAGTACCGTGACTGGCCATTCGTGCGCACGGACTTCTGTGAAGCCCTCTGGGCCGAATGCTTGAAGCGTCCTATCAAACCAAAAGGCTTCCTCTGAGAGAGCCCTGGCTCCGTCGCAGGATCGCTGCTCTAATGTAGGACCAGTGATCCAAATCTGCGCCAAATCCTCTACTCGGTCCTTTGACTTCCCAGTTCTCAAACATCACTTTTTGGCATGAGAATTCAATAAGACCCCGCCTTGAAGCAGTGGAAAGTAGGGAAGTTTTCCACACAGTTACGCTGGTTGCAGGTCCATTTGCTGCTGTTTTTGTGCGGTCCCAGCGTCCCAGTGGCCGCACCCAGCTAGAGACTAAAGCTGGACCAAGGCCTTTGCCCAAGTCATCCATAATGTTGTACCTGAAGAACTGGATAGCAGAAATGGTGGAGCTGGATACGCTGGATGGTGGCTGAAAAGACAATTTCATCCTCTACTAGACTCTTCTACTTGTGCTCTTGATGTAAGCCGGTGGGTGTTCAACCCCTTCCCACAAGTCTTGGGGAACCCTCACCTGACACTCAGGCGACAAATCCCTTCTTCTCAGCAACCCAGCGACACGCCGAAGACAGTCCCGCGGGATTTCGTCTGCACCGTGTTCAGTAGGATGGCTTTGGCATTCCCGCCCGCCACCGGCGCCAGCAAACCACCAAGCAAAGCCAGAAAATGGAAGAGCCATGGGTGACCCCAGGCACCAGCTGCTGAGAACAGGATGAAGAAGGGCACCATACCTCGGTTTTCGCACCTGAGCACCTCTGAAAAAGACGTTCTATATGACGATATGTGGCTATAATGGTCTATATATCAGCATGTCCAACATATTCCTTCCGTTTGGTCGGAAAAAACGAGTGTCATTTGGGACTCGTCCGTTTGACCACCATCCTACCGCCTGCTTCGGTCCATGAGTGTCAAGATGCCACCCCACACGGTGATGGCCATGAGCCACGCTTGTAGTCCTCGGGCAAAGGGCAAAGGTCCGGTGGATCCGAATCGTTTGTAGTGGACGGTCCTGTCGATTGCAATGTCGACTTGCATATGATTAAGTGACTTTGAGTGTCGGGCCTGGCTGGATGAAGGGAGATATGGACGGTCCTGTTCCCCTCTGCCAGACGGGCAGGGTGCTCTTTGTCGGACTGTTGGGGAGTCCAGCCACTGGCTCTCGATTTCTGAAATAGGGAAATTCATCTACCATGCAGCACCAACGAGCGAACCAATCATGGTTTGGTGGAAGACAGACTCTTCGGGTCAGGAAAACAGTCTTCCTTTCGGGGCCACGGTTCCACTTCCATTGTTGGATGGAGGGTAGTATACAATAGAACTCTGATGTCACTCCAAAGCTCTCTTGTCTCTCTTGTAGAGGTGCTGCCCCAGCTTGCCGCCACAAGCGGTACCGGCGAAGCAACCGATACCAAAGCCTCAGGTGCTTTGGAGTGGTACAAGGGCAGGATCAACACACATCCGATAGCAACCGGTTGCTTTTGCAGGCAATAGACTATGACCCAAACAACCATGTTGAAACGAACCGTTTCAGAGTTCGATCCGCTTGCTCCGTGGAAAAATCTTGATACACTTGGATAAAAACAGTAGATCAACAAATAGTTTCAAAAAACACATTCAACAACCAACATATGCCGGATAATGCCGGATGGCGGGTGTCTCAAACAAAAAAGGACTCGACTCTCGTGTATGTCGACTCGTACCACACCCGAGCGGCTGAAGAGCACGGCCGTAGCGCCCGGCACGCCCAGGTGTGCGTTGGTCGCGAGGTAGTCGGTGAGAAAGGTGGAAATGACTGCCCATGGCACACAGCCAAAGACCCCTTGGAGGCAGGTGAGTATCCTGAGATAGCATAGGATTTCGGTAGATTGACCAATGCAAGAAGGAGCAAGTCAAATGAAAGATCATGGCACTTATGAGCGTGTGTGGGGGAACAAACCAAACGTCCAGCTTTCCAGTTGAGTCCATTTTAACTCACAACATTGACAGATGTTCGTTCAATGAACAGATGAGAAACAGCACAGATTCCCGACCTTTCGGTCCGACCGTTTCGGTCCGAGTCTTCGTCCAGAAACCTCGCGACTCGCGTCCGAGTCTTTCGGTTTTCGACCTCTCCACACGAGGTGGGTCGAGGCAAACACAGGAAGCGATGTTGAAGTGTTTTTGCAAAGCCAGGATTCACTGTCTTCTTCTTCAAAGCAGAACATAAAGCTCCGCAATAGTTCTTCTGTTCCTCCAATTCTTGTTCTGCTCCCCTTGGCTCCTTTTGGAGTGCAAAGAGAAGCAAGGCCATGCCTCAGCCAGGCAGAAACCCACTACCTTCATCCCACAAAGCTCTATGGAGTGGCATGCTTGGGATTAATTGAATTGCATTTCTGGTCAGATTCTAGAGGAATATTCTATACAGTAGGGGCTGGCAGCCCACCTAAAACCACCACAAATAGATTAAACAGTTCGGCCATACCTATCTTATCTATCTCCCTTTCCAACTGAATATCTCAACAGCCGCGTGGCACAGCCCGGCCGCGCCCACCAGCGCGAAGGGCGCCCTCCAGCCCGCCGCGGAGCCCAAGAAGCCCGCGAGGCCCTGACCCAAGGCGGGGCCCAACCCTGAGATCACCTGAGGACCAAACGGACCGAACGGTAGAACCGAGGCCACGGCGCAGAGGAATCGGTGGGTTTATCGTCCGACTCGGCCCCCCTAGGAGCCCCCCCCAAAACGCCAACCCCCACGGCGCGTCCAAACACCGAAGGTGAGTTTGGGGAGTTTGGGGAAGCTGCAAATGACGCTTCACAGTTGTGTTTTGTACTTGGGACCAGCTGTGCAGTGGAAGGAGGCGACATTTCACACTTGGCCATTTCTCCAAGGGGAGAAAGGATGAGGATCATGCGCCTTCCATAAAAAGGCAAACCACTGGGACACCCTGAGGCAATGTTCATACTCTCTGGCTCTTGAAAACACACAACACACACACACACACACATGAACAAAACCAACAACACCCTCCATCCCCTCCATTCATCCACATCGGACTCTTCCATCGGACTCTTCCGCTGCAAGGGACCGCCATCATTGCTATGGCGTGCGGTCGCTCCTCTGCAGGATACATATCCTCGGCGCGGCGCTCTCCGCGCGCGGCACGGAGAGATCGGCGAAGTTCGTCGAACGGTGACCATGGGGGTTCGTTGATCCCGCATCGATCGAAAAGGACACCCCCCATATGATTGAGTTTGCTTCAGGCATGGGTGAAGGGATCCGTCGTTGGTACAATGTGGTACAATGATCCTCCTACACAAATACTACTCAATGAGGAAAGTCCCCAACACATCACCTCAAACGAATGCGGCCCGGATTGGGCAAAGAACATCTCATGAAATCCCTTCTTAGAAAGGCTGAACTAAACGCTTTCCGTTTCTCAATGAACTTTGCCTGATGCTTCACCCCATTCTCTCACCACCCAACACACCGGTCCCCCAAGCCGCCGCGCGGCCCCAACGATCGCGAAGCTCGCCGGCAGCAAGCCGCCCAGCGCCGCGCCCACGGCGCCGCGGCACAGCAGCAGCGCGCCGAAGTGCTGCACGCGGGAGTTGGCGAAGGTCCCGGCACCGCCGATCCTGGCACCCGCCGATTCGGCCTCTCGGTCCAGCCGGGCCGACGGAACGAGATGCAGGGGGGGTGGAGGATCTTCAGTCATGGCGCATGAGTTGTGTCAGGGGCTCCAAAACGCCTCGGTGTTTTCACGGCGCCCGAAGACGGCGAGGGCTTCTTGCTGCGAAGCAACAGCATGCAAAACGACACCAGAGTGGTTCGCTTCATCAGATCTGCCAGTCGGCCAGCGACCAAGGAAAAGAGCGCGCCAGTACTGAAAAACACAATGGCCACAATGCCTCAGGTGTGGCCGCATTGAGTGTTCGAAAGCTGACCAAACCAGCAAGACATAGCAAGGCCTTGCAAAACATAAGGCTGGTCACCAATCTGCAACACCAGTGATGCCAATCGATTGACAACACCGTGCTCAAGTCACAAGTCCATAAATCTCTCCCTCACTCCCTCCTTCTCTCTCCCTCCAGCACAAACCCACTAGCCTAGGGGGTATCAAATATTTCGACATACTTCGACAGCAGGGTGTTGACTCACACGTATTCGTTTTCACATCGTCCGCAGGATTCGTTCGTTCGCATGGTCCGCGGTGCCTCCGAGCATTTCGTCTCTCTGTGGGCCATCAAAGTGAAATTCCTTGGCCACCTGGGACATATTGGCCTCAGTTCGAATGCATGGCGTGTTGTTCCCCCACACAAGGACGGGAGATGTGGTAAGGCCACCCTCCAAATCGGGCACATGAGTGGAGTGAAGACTCAGGCTAGGTCAAACCTTCCGAGTTTGACAACACATGAAGAGAAAGCTCCTAGTAGCGTCTTTGCTCGTAGTAGTAAGGCCAGGAGCCCCTAGTAGCGTCCTTGCTCCTAGTAGCGATGCCCTTATCACCATGAACACTATCACCTCTGAGATGTTCTTTACCTCAAGCCTTGGCAAACACGACATGATGACTCTCAAGGGGGACCCCTGCCCTTTGCCCTCTTATTGAAGTGCATATGTTCAAAATATTACTATTTCAAGATGCAACACACGGGATCCAATTGCTTGGACCGAGTTGAGAGAGTTTCGAGTGGGGAGGATCCTCGACAGATCTTCGATCCGCCGGTCAGACCGGCGTTTCTGGCCGAAATTTCGGGGCCCTGGGGTGCTGTTTTTATTGGCCTATTGAGACACCCCATCACCCCCAAATGCTGATCATATATACAAATACGTAACCCCCCTCTATAATTACGCATACACATCATTATATAATCAATCATTATCAATAATATTAATCCTCTTGTGTATTGTTTTGCCCAAGTGACTGGAAGTAACGGCTGGTCAGCCAGCAGCAGCAATTGTGCCAGTGCCAAGGGAAGCAGTTTTCGGTGGTGATGCACTTCGGCTAGCACCAAAAACGGCAAGCCTTGGGGAGCACCATTGGTTAGAGAGCGGACAAGTCAAAAAGCACATGCAAAAGGTCCTCGCTACGAAAGCTATTCGATTTGGGCTGACTTGGGAGAGGGGGTCACAGAGCTTGTCGGTTTCAATCTGTTTCGATTCGATTCGATTCTGCGGGAGACTCTTAGACGGTGTTTGTTTGTCACAGTGCTTGTCACGTTTTGTTTTTGTTTTTGGCTTTCAATGATTGACCCGGATGACTTGTGAAGCTCTTGAGAATTTCTTCATGGCTAGCTCGACAGAGCGTGGATAGGTATGGAGAGGACATTGCACGGATTTCGTTTCATGCAAAGACGAGAATAAATACGAGACTGCTTGGAAGAGCCTATTTCTTCATCAATCTGGAGCTCTGCAAACGTTTATTTCGCCAAGGACCCTTTGAGATGCTGTGCAAGGTGTTGAGATAAATATATCTTTCCAGCAGGGCCCACACAAGCAAAGAGATGTTGGTATTGGGTCTGGTTCAGCACCAAACAAAAGAGATGTCATGCGCGTGCGGAAACTACTCCAATGGTGGTTTGGCCCTGTTCGATGTGTGTGTGTGTTGATTTATTTCCGATTTGTTGATTTAAACCATATTCATATTGTTCTCGGACCCTTTCGCCTTTCCGTTCTTCGCAGGGCCATTTCACAGGTTGAGGCTTGAGCGCTCTAGACTGGTATTGCCATTGCAGTAACTAATCTTAAAGTGCTAATGCTCACCGCGAATTGTCTGAAGCCAAGCTCGGCAGAGCTCTCATCTCAAGTGTGGTCGATTTGGCCAGGTCTTTGCACGCTGCTGACTCCCTCACATGGCCGAACTTACTTCCTCTGCGGCTCCTGGACGGTGGACGGCTTCATCCAAACGTGCGGACGGTGACCAGGGAGGGATCCACCGGTTGGTTTGGGGTGCGCTTGCTTTTTTTGGCGTAAAACTTTCACAAGAAGGGTCTAAAGCGAGAATGATCTCTGGAGGATTCTTTTCGCCTTGGAGACGTTCCGCCAAACATTCGCGCCCTTGCAGCTCGCGCGTAGAATCATGTCTAGAATCATGTAATCAGTCCCTGTCCCCAATAGGCCAAACTCAAGTGGATCAAATCATTGCGTGATATCACGGCCATGTGATTGGTGATGTGCAGATCATTTCCCACAGAGATTCATCACGTTTTCTTCTCAATGTTTCACACTCTAAGGATTCAAATTATGGGTAATTGCACTGGAGATCCATTTTAAAAACAACAAGCAGTCCCGGCAGTCTGGGATTGCACTCGAGTGTGTTTGGCGCTTCGGAAGCGGATCGAAGAGGCGGATCGAAGGCACGATCCGTGGCGCGTGGGCGCAAATGGTCTTCACTGAGGCCAAGGAGCTAACGCAACATCCACGACTCTTCCCTGGACTTTTGCTCGGGGTGTCGTCCTTCTTTCCAAGCTCGTTGTCCGATCGGTTGGCTTCCCCATGCCGAGAGAGCTCAAGGGACATGAGCGTTTGGATGGTGGTTTTAATGCCTGCAGCTTGTCTACTAATGTTGATAAAGCAATAGCAAAGCAAACAGAAAAACAACTGCTACAAGTGAGAGAATAAAGTGTGACCCTAATTCATACTAATCAATTCTTAGCCTTAGCTTCAAAAATGGACAACAAGGACATATCGACGCACCTGAATCTACTAGACTGAAGCACCTGAAACAAAACGAACACTCTTCCAAGCTGCTCTTGCATCGTGCCCCATGACTTTCCTTTTTGTGCATATTTGTGCATCATGTACTTGCACACTTGTCTGCCATGATCCTGACCTCTGAAAAAGAAGGCGCCTGGAGAGTTCAGTCGACCAGTCGACTTGGAACGCTGACCATGTTCACTCTGGGCCCGTCCAATTGAAGTTGGCTTGGTATTGCTGCTGAACCCGAACATGCACATGCACATGCGTCAAGGGGAAAACGCGCGGTGCGACTGTCGGGAACGTGAATGAAAGTAGTGTGATGACAAATCTCACAAACAGAAGAGGGTGGTTTAATATGAATGCTCTCAAACACGACCAGGTGTTCATGCCATCATACACCATCTGGGCCGCCATCGACATCAGTTGAAGCCATGAAGATGATGTGGCCAACAGTCGTCAAGCAATCCGCAGTTCTTGACCCGGACCATGAGCTGTGGGGATTGATCTCACCGTCTCTCTGGGGAAGTCTGTTTTAGGCGACAAAAACTGGTGATGCTTCGCTCAAAAACACATGACTCATTACGTACACTCCCTGAATAGTCCTGGAAGATCATGCAAGTAGACAATTGAAGAAATGGACCCCTTGGACCATTTTCCTCCACAAACAGGTGGTTTTCCACTTCCATGATTCTTTCAGGAAGTGTAGATGCCCTCATCTGGAGAAGTAGGACCCTACTGGTCGGGGGGGTTAAATTCATCAACAAATATCAACCATGAACACCGCCTTCAAACTTCTTCCGTCGATTGTACAGGCACAATTCGCCAGGAACTGACATGGTCAGGCCGAAGCATGGCGCTCTTTTACTCGTCGTCAAGCAATCCCTGACCGCGGAGCCACTGCAGCTCGCCGTGCCATTGGTCGACACCCTCGTGCTTGCCCACGTTCTTGCTCTTCGCCTTGCGTATGGAACTACTTGAGGCCAAGGGGGGGGCGAAAGCTAGCGCTCCAGAATGGGAAAGTGGAGGGCAGCGAGGTAGGAAAAAACACGGCGCTCTTTTTGGAGGCAGGGGTGAAGAGTCCTTTATATGTGGCTCTTTGCCCGGATCCTCCTGCGAGAGAAGAGAGACGGAAAGACGAGAGACAGAGAGGAGAGAGAGAGAGAGAGAGAGAGAGGAGAGAGAGATGAGAGAGATGAGAAAGAGATGAGAGAGACAGTGAGACAGTGAGAGAGTGAGAGTGAGAGTGAGCGAGTGCGGCCGCAAGATACGCAACGCTAACCGCATGCCAAAGAGCGACGACAGGACGGAGTCGAACTTGCGAAGAGGGAGGAGGGAGGGAGGGAAGATGGGAGGAAGACAAGGAGGAGGAGAGGGGGGGAGGTGGGGAGAGGGGAGGAGGGGAGAGGGGAGGGGAGGGGAGGGGGGGGGGTCTTCGACCTGAAAAATCAGGGGTTAGGATTTGCACCCGGTCGAAAGAAACCTTGCTATCGCATGCTATCGCAAGAGTAACTCCAGCTAGCTTCGCTAGCTTTCGTGATTTTGAACACAGCAACAATTCACCCTTTTCCATCTCGTCCCTCCCATGCCACCATGTCTTCTTCCCTGCCCTTCCCTGCCTCCGAAGCAATGCTTTGTCGCCCCAGGAAGCCCTTGCAAATGAAGAGCATCTCACGAGTAGACCTAACAATTGCAACAGTACAAGACTGAATATCTCCCGGTTCGGCATCATCTGAATAAACAAAAAGAACGTAGAAGATACAATGCAAACACAAAAAACAGCGAAAATCGTTCATCTTTTGTAATGTTAATACTCTATACTCGCGGTTCCGCGGTTCGCCAAAGCCATTGTGTTTGCTGTCGAGTTGGCTACGCGGCGACGAGATCGGTTTTGGGGAGCACCTTGCAAGAACTGTCGTGACCGTCTCGGCAAAGTCATGACAACATGGGTCACTCACATGCTCGAGAGGTCATGGCAGCCTGGTGGACCACCGAAAATGAACCATAATGAACCACTCGGGAGGTCAACCTACCAGGGATTAAGGGGTGCCATGACCCACAGGCATATGGTTCACCTCGTTTAGGACATTGGCGTTTTTTTTGCGTCGTCCTACTATGTCCGACCTCCCAAGGACCAAGTCTTCATCGTTGATGACACTCACCACCTGTAACTTCACCACCTCAAGAGTGGACTTGATTACTTCACCACCTGTCTTCAAAGTGGCCTTGATTTGGGTGAAACACTGAAAGTGCACGACTCAGCCACCTGTAACCCAGGCCATCCGGACGACTCATGGCCATCCAGTCTTCGAACAGCCATGGTGACACCGTAAAACCGCCCCAGGCGCTTCTGCCCACGGCACCGGATCGCTCCCGGTCGGATGGAGCGTACGGTGTCGAAGCGCGAGTCCAAATACCTCGGGGTCGGTGGCTTCTTCGCGAGTCCAAGTACCGAACTCCAGGGATGAACTGGAGGAAATCGAGGACTAGGTGTGGGCAGTGCCATCTCATGGCATCAAATGGCTAGAGGGAAGAGATCTGAAGGGCTGATAGGTGGAGCTGGATTGCGAGTTGAGTGTGTGGGGGGTGCAAAGGGCATTTTTGAGGCTTTGTTGGTGAAAAACAACTTTTTTACAGCAATGAATGACATATTGATGCTAAATGTAACATAAATGTATTAAGATGTATGAAGTACCGCAAGACATGTTACAGTACCCTGAAAGGATGGCTGCATTGGGACGAATGGTACTTTAAGGGAGGAATGATATCCCTGAGAGGGTTTCCTGTGCCTTTGCGAACCTCCCAGGGATGGTTCGCAAAAACTACCTGGTGCCCTTCAGTGGCTATGGTGATATTTTGTGCCAGTACTTGTCTCAAAATCATCCCTGGACCCTGGATTTCCCTAGACTCATGGAATGTCTCATCTTGAACGTGATCACTGGACACTCTGGACATCAACGAAAACACTGGACTGCCCTGGTTGATTTTCTCTGGAGTCCTCCAGTAGGCACAAACAAAGTGCATCATTGCATCACTTGTGCCGTCCAATCATCCTCCAGCTTCCAGCTCGGCTGTGCCAACTGAGTCAATCTTCAGCTTCCAGCAGCCTCCAGCAGCTTGATACCAGGCACCCGGACGCGCGCAAGTGAGTCATCTCCGGACCAGACTGGGCCGCCCAACGAACGACCGAACGACATCGAACGACCCAACGACACGCGCGGACTCGGAGCAGCGTGGCGCAGCGCGAGAAGGCCGACACGGTGTCAGATCATCCGACATCTGTTTTGAGGTTGGTCAGATCTGACAATTCCGCACCAGGCACTTAAGCCATAGCCACTGAAGGGATGGTTTGCCACTCCCTGGTGCCCTTCAGTGGGGTTGCTGGAGGATTTCTTGAAACATCGATGGCGACAACGATGGCGCCGCCACATCTCCCAGCCGCCTCTGCGCGGCTGGACCGCCCAAATATGCCCAAATCAGATCCTTTCATCTCAAAAGTCCGCGGCTGTGGCAGTTTGGTCATTCAAATAAGAACCTCACAGTTGCATAAGTTGCTTCCCATGCAAGACCAAGTTGAACCGCTACAAACTCCCTTGGCCTCCCTTAGAGGTACACTCGAGAAGTTTCAAACTGTTTCCGCTCTGATCGCCAGCCAAACCCGGAGTTGGCCACCCACTTCTCAACCTAGAACACTGGTCAAACCCGAACCCCCTAGACCTTTCTTTCCTTCAAACCTACCTAGAAGGCAGTTGGTTTCTAGTGGCAAATGATGGCTTGTGGCCCACATGTGGCCGCTGATCGACCTGTGCTGAGCTTGTTCAATGATGTTCGGCCTCCGGTCGTTTGCCTTGGGCTTCCAAAACATACTCTTTCTGGGTTTGACGTACATGTACGGTCTTACGGTCTTACATATGCTGTATATCATATGCAGTTGTACTTATCTTGGTCTTTGAGCTGAAGTTACCGGGGATTCCAAAGATCTTTCAGCAGCTTGCAGGCAAACTTCCCTGCGGTACTTGGAAGACCTGTACCGCTCCCATCTCCGTCGCCGCTCGCCTGGAATTTCAGCACGAAGAGGCCTCCCAGTTTTAAGGTCCTCCAATGAGTGACGGGAGGGACGGCAGCAACGGCTGGGAAGGTTGGCCGATTGAGTTCATCTAAGCTGGGAAGCACTGCATAGGAAAAGAACACACATGAACAAACATGAAACACACACACGCACATGCACACTTCGACATTGGTTTTCAGTTAACTCAACTTCCAGGAAAAAGGTGATGGAACGGAAAGGTGAAAGAGTCGGCGCAATTGTATTGTTGAACGTTGTTTATGCAAGACTGCTCAATGATCAGTGCGGCTGCACATCTGCAGTGGAAGAATGGGTTTGTGGGGAGTAGCATGAAAACCACTATGGCAGCAAAAAAAGGAAAGAGTGGAGTGACAGCTTGTGAAAAACTCAGCAGGTACATGGTTGAGCGTCCTCAACCACTTCCCTTCCAGTGACGCAGCTTCGTTGGATCAGGTTAGTCACTGAGCTTGGCACGAACGGTGAATGAAAGAACCCTTTGAGACAGGGCTGGACACACACACGGTGCCGCTTGGCGGCGCTCGCGTGAGAGACCTGAATAGATACCTAAAAAGCCTTAGAAACGAAAGATTTACAGAAAGAGCAGCGCTAAGAGGGCAAGAGAGAAAGATAGGTGTAGAAAATGAAAAATGAATACTTAGCACTTGACTGGGGTAGGGAAACCAGCCTCAAGAGCCACCTAAAGAGCCTGAGAGAAAGCCCAACAAACGACGAAAAGCGTAAGAAGGAAAAGGGGGGGCAGGGAGTGTATGTCCATGTGTGTGTTTGAATACCTAGCACTCTAGAATTACTGAATACTTAGACGAAGTGAATTAGGTGCACTACTTAGGGAGCGGGACTTTTGTCTTACACCGCCCGGGTAGAGTAGACTAGAAAAGGGACAACAGAGGGAAAGGCACCGACACACACAAGTGTGTCGAGTACCATTTCCCTATGTTACCCTAATTAGGTAGGGAGTAGAACGCAGTGGGGGGGGGGGTCGGGAGACCTGCCTCAAGTGGGGGGGAAAAAAGCCGTTTTTAAGCCCGGCGGCTAGTAGATTCGTCTTTTAGCCCGACGGCTGTATGAGCAGTGAATTCAGGGTGGAAGAGTGGCAGTGAGGAAAGTCAAGGAAAGGAACGAGTCAGTGAAATGAATTCCGGAATGAGTGCAGCGCCTCCTTGCGGAGGATCACACCCAGCACCCATGTGGGACGGCTGAGCGGCTCACACTTCGACATTGGTTTTCAGTTAACTCAATTTCCAGGAAAAAGGTGATGAAACGGAAAGGTGAAAGAGTCGGCGCAATTGTATTGTTGAACATTGTTTATGCAAGACTGCTCAATGATCAGTGCGGCTGCACATCTGCACTGGAAGAATGGGTTTGTGGGGAGTAGCATGAAAACCACTATGGCAGCAAAAAAAGGAAAGAGTGGAGTGACAGCTTGTGAAAAACTCAGCAGGTACATGGTTGAGCGTCCTCAACCACTTCCCTTCCAGTGACGCAGCTTCGTTGGATCAGGTTAGTCACTGGAAGCCTGATCCCCCTGCTCGAGCTTGGCACGAACGGTGAATGAAAGAACCCTTTGAGACAGGGCTGGACACACACACACACACACATTCTTATGCACATTCATAGTAATTATAGTTTGACAGTTATACATTTGTTTAGCTAATATATGATTCATCCATCGATCCATCCATCCATCCTTCGTTCCGTCGAAAACACACTTAGGCATACAAATGGTCCTCTTCCTAATCAATATCACCCGGACCTCCAACTCTCTTTGCCCGTCCTCTCCATGATCCTCGCCGCCTGGAGGCAACCTCAGGGCCAAGGCCGCGGCAGCCAGCGGGAGCTCAGGGTCCAGTGCAACAAAGGTCAGGTGAAAAATGTCTGGCGGGAAGCATGCACACTGAGATGTACCAAAACTACAGGATCAAAGCGCTAGTAGAGCTCTTCATTCTCAACACACACCACTGCCATATCTGCCATGCTTATCCCATGCTCATCTCCCAAAGCCGCTGCAGTGGCATAAGCCGCTTCGGTTCCGGGAACAACTGACCAACGGCGGGAAAGGTCGCGGCGGGAAGGGGTCGCTGCTTCAACTGCGGGAACGGTCGGTGAGAAGGAGGTCTCTTCAAAAGCCTCGTTGATGCGTCCTCTGGGTTTTGGAGATGAAGGCCGATTCGACCTCATCTGTCTCGTTCCAAAGACCTCGAAGATCAACCAGGTCACAGCCAAAGAAGAGCTTAAGTAGCTTGTAGTGTAGCTTGTAGTGTAGCTTGTCTCAACATGGGGCCCCTTGTCTATACGCAAGTTGACCTCCCTGAACGACTCAAACCTGGCGGACCCGGCACTGCATCGAGTTCAAATGATCCTCGCTCTTGAGGCCTCCACCGACGGATCCGAGAACCAACCGGGAGACCAAGATCGATCCATTCGGAAGGGAGAAGGGCAAGTTGAAGCTGTGGAGGTGGTGTTTTTTTGAGGCCAAGGACAGGAGACAGATGAGTTCAAGATGACTATAGATGACTTATGATGACTTCATGTTTGAAAGATCATGGGAGTGCCATTCATGGAGTGTATCTGAGGACCGGAGTGTTTTCACGGACCCTTCGGCCAGTCGCTGCTGTCGTCCCTTCCACCATCTACCTGGACCAACCGCTGAGCCAAAACGATCAAACATGGCACCACTGGTTCTGGACATGCTGTAGTGGTGAGCAGAACTCCAAATGTCCACAGGGTGTTAGAGTAGGTGTTAGTAGATGTGAGTAGTATCACCTTGTGCAACGAACATAAAACCATACAAGAACAACCACAACCGAGAACAGTTGTAGAACACATCACGGATGAGTGACTCATCCTCAGTGGATCCTGTGACTCCTCCCATCCGCCCATGTCACGGAGTCCGTCTCCGTGCGGGGGGGGGGGTCCGCACCCACCAACGCGGGCGCCAGGTCCGACAAGACCAGGTCCGCTCGGCGATCGCCCAGCCTGAGACGGACGGACGCGGGGAAGGTCCGGTCCAGCCAGTCCAGGCGGAGGGACCCTGCAGGAGGGGACCCCGATCAGCTGCGGTGGTATTTTGTTTCAAGAATTCCCTGTGTGAGACAGTCTTTGGTAGTCCCTCTGGTATATACTCCAAGACGATCTGGCTCAGGAGGATACAGTGTAGAAACGGGGGTCTTTTCATGACTCCGGAGTCCCGTTCTCGAGGTCCTTTTGAGTAGGTCTCAAAATGTCTCAAAGATATAGATTCAGGTGTTCATATCATGTTTCATGATCGTCATATGATGTCAATGACATCTCAACATGGGCTGGGAGACCACCAAAGGAAAAATAGAAAAAGGACACCAAGAAACGGACGTCAACCAACAAGCAATTTTTGCTTGCTGCTTCTGGGTTCGCATTGTGTCCCAGTCATTGATGTTCTTCATCTGTTGGTCTCTTTGGGCTTTAGGGACAAACTTGCTTTGTCTTCCTGATCTGAGTCGAAGGAACTCGTCAGAAAAAGGAACGGCTTCCAAGCTTCATTCCCATATTCCCTCAGGTTTAATAGTAAAACACTCGAAGATCAATCCCTTGTGTGAATCGTCAGTCGTGTCAATCAACGAAGTAGGAAATCAACATGCAATGCCATCCCCTGAAGTATCAAAATATCTGACCTACCTCTCTAGACCGTCTTCTCATCATGCTTCGGACTGTCCAGTCCGCGCGCGGGTGTTTTTGCCCACAGCTTAGCCGGGAGCCCCGAACGTCTTCAGAATCTGCCGCAAGGTCTCCTGAGGCCACACAAGTCTGGTGCCCCAACTCGAAATCCCTAAGTCGCCAGGGTGACGAGATGGCACCACCATGGCGCGAACCACCCGCCATGCCCGGGCCATTCCGACATGTTGTCTTCCCCACCCCACCCCCTCGGTCGGTTTCACGCCTCGTGGGCCACGTCGCCTTGGAGGAAGGTGTGATACTCCAAACCATCCATGCGAGTGGCATCCACGCCTGGAGGCTTCGCCCCGCGCACATCACTGGCGAACAACCCACATCGGGACGCTGTTCAAAGGAACGACCGACGTTTAAGCGACAAGAGACAGAAGAAACAGGAGAATACTGAATGTCTCTGAGCATGTCTCTGAATGTCTCTGTCTGTTTTCTGTTTTGGAGGGTGTCGAAGATCCGGAGGGTTGGAGGTTTTGCAAGCAAAGAGGCACTTGTGTGCTTTGTTTGCGTTGGCTAATTTATGTGTTTTTTTCATGATGACATCATTAACAGCACTCAGTGTTTCATGCGTTCCAACCTGTGAATTCCTGCAGTGCTTCAAGCGGCTTCTTCAGGAGAGTCATGTTGAAGATTGAATTGAATGGAGCTCAAGTTCACGGATGCTCCATCTTCAACGTTCTATCTGACCGGCACTGGCTCAACCGAGATTCCAACCGAAGGTTTCGTGGGCTTCAACACATGGCCGGTGCGAGCCGGCACCAGCCAAATGTCAGAATCTCATTTTCATGGAGATCGTTACTCGTTCACATAAACATCATTTCCTTCAACCTCCTCTTTGAAGGTCCAGTGCTTTTTCTTTCAACCTCCTATTTAAAGGTTCAGTGCATTTTATTCGTCAAGCCATCCCCCCCCAACTCAAAGAGCTGAAACTCGAACACTGGGTGAATCAGGGGCTGCTTGGGCATGGCTGGACCCGAGGGCGTCGTAGAAGGAAGCCTATACGTCAACAAGCCCTTCGCGGATGGCGGCTACGAAGGAAGCCTATAGAAAAGAGTTTAATTACACCATGACATACATGAAGAGTTCATACACCAGTTTCATACATGTTTAAACGTCCAACCCAGTGAAAACATCAGTTTCATCAAAAGATTCTCGAAGCTGGAAGGAGATACCGACGGCTGTCCGACGATGGACAAACGGCGACACACGACTGGGACATCGCGCCGATCACGCGGCTGCTGCTGCTGGAAGCTTCGCTCCTGACCCCGGCAACGTTTCGAAAACACAGGCGTGTCAGCAGGCCCTTCTCTTCTCCCTCCTGAAGAATTAGAACTCCCATTGTACCTCCATCTGAGGAATAACAATAAACACATATAAACATCAAATAACATCAATAAACGATCTTGCAATGGGTTGTCACGTGTTACCCACTTTCTGGAACAAACACATGCAAGTTCAACGAACTCTTCATCAGGGTGTGATGTCCAAGCTAAATGAAACTACACTTTGAAAGCAATCTTTCTTCAAACATCTTCAAACTAAGTGTGATGTCAAACTAGATGTCAAGTGTGATGTCAAGTTTCTTGATGTCAAAGAACTACTCAGTACTCGAGTCAAACACCCCATCGTTGCCCCCCCCACTTCTCGAAGGAACGTTTTGGTTGATCCACCCAACGGCTCACACCGCAATTTCACACCGTTTTGTGGTGCCCAAAGTGTCCCACAAGGTGTGGCCGTTGTGGCTTCGCGGTGGCTTCGACATCGACTGGCTTCTGCCGTTTGAAGGTGGCCTGTTCCAGATGGTTTCTGTATTTCTTTTGGCCTCGGCTCTCACTTTACATTGGTGCCCTTGCTCTTGACCGGATCTGTTTGCGGGGCCTGCGAGGGATGGTCACCCATCTGTGCTACGACACCTCACAGCCGCTTTTGCGCCCGTAGCGCGCTGGCGCGCGCTGGCGCGCGCGTGCGCGTGGCAGTGGTCCTTTCAATGGCCACCTGGGTTTCCACAGGTGAAGGCTCTTGAGCGGCGGCGATCAACCAGCAAGGGTCACATCCACCACCAAGGGTCACATCCACCTGACTTCGGTGGTGGTCTTTGAGTGCTCAATCCTGATGTAAGACAGATGTAGCTGCGTATAGCTGCAAATAAGGTAACCAAGCAACATTCTTCAGAGTGACCAATCATTGGTCTCATGTTTTAACCAATGGACCAATGTACTTAAAGAGGTTCAAAAGGCTGAGATAATGAAAGAACAACTTGTTGGTAGAGGTAGGTGAGGTACCTCCTCTATAGAGCCTGGGGCCTAATCCTGTTTATGGTGTGCATAATAACCAGTCGATAGTGTGTCATCCCCACCCAAAGCGGTCGATCCTGCTTCGCACACCCTCTGCATCGGCAATTCGATGGGGTCTCTCTTCCTCCAACTCCACCCTACCGCTGTGCCTCAGACCATCCGCCCGGGAAGCAGCCCAGATCCAAAACCACCTGAAGGCCAAACTCGCGCGACGACGCCCAAACTCGCCCTTCCACGAGCCGTTCCGCATTGGTGAAGTGGTGCTCGTTGATGAGCCGAGTTTCGGATGCGTTCGTACTCCGTGTATGCGTGCAACCGGCGCGCAACCGGCGCGCCCGTCGTCCTTAGGTTCGCTGCTGTTTGTGTGCAACTGAAGCCTTCCGGCAGGTTGTTGTTGTTGTTGTTGCTGGTGTTGCTGTTGCTGTTGCTGTGGCTGTTGCTGCTGGTGTTGTTGTTGTTGTTGGTAGCAAAAGACACCGCCGCCGAACATAGTTGTCACATGTTGTAAATCTGGAACTTCAAGGGGACAATGTTAGAGATATGGTTGAAGGTTTGAGGGAATGTTGGTTTCGTAAGTAGCTGGACTTGTTGGGTTTGTTTCACTGAAGTCTGGCTTGGTCTGTTTTTAGTGGTCTTTAACATGTGATTTTGAGGTGTTGTTCTGGGGGGGGTCAAAAACAGCAACGGGGTTGCAGTCATTGTTTCTAGGAAGGGGTAGAGAAACAAACACCTTTGAGGGGGAGAAAAAACGGTCTCCAACTCTTCCCAACTATCTAAGCTGATAGAAAAGCTGTATCCAAGAGAGATCGATCCTATATGAGAGTTTTTCCTGACTCTCCAAGGTAATACTGTATCTAAAGGGGATGGGAAAAAAAACCTATCCCTCGGACAAACTATCCCCTGTATCCATGGCGATGTCCTCGACACAGTGTGGCTTTTGCCGATGCCCGCACTGTCCTGATCTGTGGTGCCCCAGCACTGTCCGGTCTCAAGAGCGAAAAACGATCATCCAGCTGCCTGCGCATCCGGAACTCTGTCCGCCGGTCGGAACTCGGCGTGGAGTCGAAAAAGGACAGAAAAGCCCCATGATGTCCATCAGCACTGTGAAAGAACACGGACGTGGGAACCGTGTGTTCTGTGAAGATCAATGGAACAAATGCAACACATAGTCTTTGAATGTCTTTGAGACTTTTTGAACATAGAGTCTTGCAGCTAGAATATTTGGAGCCGCAACCGAGTGTCGAAGCTTTTCCTTTTCTCTGACCACCTCCGGTATCCTCCGGTGGGTCATCCCAGCAGACAGGTCCGTTTGATCGAGCGAACGACACGAACGAGCTAGTATATTATATTATAATACAATATTCAATACAGTCAAAGTAACTATAGTAACAATAGTATAATAAAACATATTATAAACGTATGATATATTTGCGCTATATATATACATAGTGCAAACACCTTCTTCCCTCACCAGCGGCTCAAATAACCACCGCCGCGACGAAAACAGCGACTCCCTCCTTCGCCGTCTCCCGTCTCGTCTCCGTCTCCATCCGCCTTAAGACCCAAGCTGCTGGAGAGCGATAGGGCGCCCGCCTCGGCCTCGCCGAAAAAGACCCCGGGGAACTCCGGTGAACTCACCAACGTTGTTTTTTTTGTGTGACGTTCAGAAAACATCCGAACACAAAGACCTGACCGAAACTCTGGACTTGCGTAGTATCTCCAAATTTTGGAGACGCGTGAGATGTGAGATTGGATGAGATTGGCAATGAGATGGTGCGCTTCGCACAAACGCAGGGGAGACTTCTCCAAGGTTTGTGCAAAGAGAGTTCCCACTTCGACGAAGAATCTAAATTCTTCAAGGTTGTGCTCCAGTGGCTGCTGGCACAGCACAGCAACAAAAGCAAGCAACATGAGAAGCAACGTTCTTGCTTTTACTTTTTTTTTGCCGCTGTTGCTAACAAAGCTTAACACAGCGTTGCCATTTCTTTCCACCGCCAAGCGGACCTAGACTGTTGCTGCTTCAAAGCCTGATGTTGGGGAACGGCAGCAGAATCACCTCCTTAGGCATCGTAGGATTACCTCCTCAACATCTCTTGGGAGAAGCCCTGCCCTTTGGGCCCAAACGGCTCGAAAGGCGCGCAAAAATGACAAATTTGGATCCAACTCGGACACTTGAATATCTTGCTTCTGTTCTGGGTGGACATTGCCAGGATGAGCTTGGAGGGCAGAAAATGCCACAGAACTGCCGCCTTCCCCGGAATCATTTCCGAAAGAACTCCTCAGCAAACTTCAAGGCTCTCTCTGCCAAGTCCTCCTTCTGCGCCAGCGCAGAGGGCGTGTCAGGGTCACCCAGCACCCGCCCTGCATTGCCATTGAGGTAGGCGCCAGTGACCAGCAGGTGGCAAGGCGCTAAGGCAGCCCAGGTTTGTAGAGCTGCGGCCTGCTCAATGGATTGAAGCGCCAAGAAACTCGAGCGCTCCCAACGCAGCACCAACCAGACTTGACGAAGGATGGCCATAAAACCTCAGATTTTGAAGTAGTTGCTCAGTGGTGGTGTTCCAGGGCCCTTAACATGAAAAATGCAGCAAGGGTCGGTTTTGGACCTGATTGGAAGGCAGGAAAGTTACGAAGGGAAAGTGACTTGTTCCAACATTGAAGCCTTTGCAATGTCCAGGGACCGTGTTCCAGGGACCACGTTCAGTGTCGTTCGTGTCTGTGTAGGTCTCTTTGCCGAAGCAAAGGTTGACCTGAAGTTGAGCGGATTGCCTTGAAGACTCCCTAGAAGATTGTGGTCAGTGATAGTGTATTCTGGCTGCTGGCAAGTGATCACAAACACCTTATGTATTCAATGCTATCTACTTGTCGTGGCTCTTCGTGGTGGTTTGACACTTGCCACCTTTCGTCCAGTTTGCGTCAAACGGCCCATGTGTTGCAACATCGCCGTGCCCGCAGCCACTCCGGGGTGCAAGCACACCACTGGGTAGGGCACACGCTTTGACAAAGCCTTGGCCCACCAGATGCGGCAAAGGTTGCTGAAGGCATAGGCGTGGAGGTCATTGTAGCTCCTGAGTTTGCTGAGACGTTGGGCGGGCTGCTCCAGCCGGCCAAAAGAAGTCAGTTGTAAACTATGAACTCTGGTACCAATCATCTGGTGAGTGCCGGGAAAGTAAGAATATCAATAATATCAGCAATTTCTATGCATGAGTTTTGGATATGCTTATTTAATTATTGGATCTGCTTTCATTTGGGTGGGTGGTCTGTAGCACTCAGGATTGGCACGCACCAAGTGGCCAGGTGGATCGCCTTCTCTGCGCAAAAAAAAGAAAACAGCCAGCGGTGCGAACAAAAGGCTCCCAGCATCACATCCGGAGCCAGCGCTCTATAGAGCTCTTCTTGGGTCATTGAGGTGTTTCGACCAACACTGACAAACAACAAACCTGATGGGGATACAGGTCGCGGGCTTTGGGCAAATCGACTGGGTGCGTGTGGACCCCCCCCCCGAAGGTCTTCACTTTCCATGGTACTGGACCATAAAGACATATTAGAGTTGTCGACCAGCAAAACAAGGTCAAGATCGAAAGCATCTCCTAGGAGAAAACTGGGCCCAAAATGCATACCTGCTCATCTGACACAGCACATCGGCAGAGTTTTTGCAAAGCTTGGATCACTTCACAAGTTGCAGTTAGCTTGTTACGCTGACGCCGATGAGCGATTCAGGGTACCTGAGCTACACAAAAAATTTATTATCTAAGAATATCAGACTATCTAATCATATATCATATCTAATCTAACATTCAAACACCTAGCCTACACATTCAAACTTCAATCAGGATCATAATGAATCATCATCACGACAAAAACGACATAATATGTCATCCAAACAACCACCGCCCCAAATTTCAGCTGTAGTTCCTCGATCTTCCTTGCAAACTAAGAAGAGACGCGACCCTGCCATGCAGGCTTGACGTTTCTGTCCACCTCTCACCTATCTCAAGCTCAGAATGATTCCTCCACATCGAAGATCAACGTTTCTGCCGCTGGACGAGGCGTCTCACGACTCTTCATCCACACCCCGGCGACTTGACGTGGCTGCGGGTCATGGGCAGACCGACTTGGTTGACCGACCGACCGGTCCCACTCGCTGCCTGGTGGACTGGGAAATGGCGACCCACTCAGGGTGGGTCACGACCCCATCCCATTCCAGCAAAGGTTGAAGAAGCCTATAGACTATCCTAGTTCGGTACCCCTGTAGGGTCCTGTAAGGTCACTTAACCTCTGTAGGTTCCCCATTCTTGCCCAGGCTCTCTTCGCGCGGGGGCAGCTCGGTCTCCACATCAAAGCCCTCCTGACGGTCTGTTTCTCGGCGGGCGACACAGCTCGACCCGGTCGGTCTGTTCCTGCTTCCAATCGGTTTGCATTCAATGACTTGGAGTGGCACAACAAAAAAAGAAAAACAATGCAACACATGTTCCCCGCCACATAATTAATTACACACAACCTTTCCCTTTGAGGTGAACCCTGAGTGGAAGCGGACTGAGTGTATCTGCACATGGCACTCTACGGCTAGAAAAGACACCCTTGACCAAACTCCCGCCAAACGTCCCAACAAACATGTGAAATTCCGAAACCGAAGATGTGCTAAGGACGAAACTTATTACAGTTTTCTTGCAATACATTACATTACGCCACACTACGTTACCTTACATTACATACACAACGCTACATTAAGTTATCTTGAGTTGCATTAAATTACAACACATACAGATACATACTATACAGCATGTTGATCCCTCTCACCCCGGTGACATTTTGGCCGTCCTCCAGCACTCGTCGGTGGCTCTCCGAGGAGACGATCACCAGGCGCGCGGCCTCGGTGGCCCTCAACGTGGCGTCCAGCAGCGTGGCCAGCTGGTAGTGCCTCGGGTGGCGCAAGCGCCGAGACCCTGACGCGACCCGCGACACGAGACGTCACGGCGGCCGAGACGAGACGGAGAGGCGACCACGGTCGCGTCGGAGCCGAGGCGCGAGAGCGGAGGTTTGGGGCGTTCGGATGTCTCGGGGGCGAAAGTTGTCCTGAGATTCCCATCTAAGAGAAGCAAAGAGAGAAAAAACATCACACAATCAGTCATGCAATGACTGGAACACGAACACAGTGGCTCTCCCAACATATCCAACATGTTCAACACACTCGGAAGACATATTGCAATGGTTCCAATGTGATTCAATTGATTTGCGATCGTGTGAAAAACCTGCTTGGAGTCTCGAGACGTGAGGTGACACTCCGGAGATACGACCCAAACAGCACGTGAATGGTACAAGAAGTGGCACTACCATTCAATAGCGCACTTGTATCATGTGAGTAACAAATAATAGATACCACTAAACCCACCTGCACTCCCCGCCTTGCCAACCATCCATCGTGCATGGGTCTTGACATGTCTTGAAGGGAAGTAGCTTCATCATGGTGCTGCCTGCCTTACTAGTATGCGAAGATT